AAGAGAGAGAGAGAGAGAGAGAGAGAGAGAGAGAGAGAGAGAGAGAGAGAGAGAGAGAGAGAATGCAATATGAACAGCAAACACAAAAAAAAAAACATATTTCAACACGGTTGGGAAGTGGGTGCCACTTACGCCAGTATACGGTTACAGCGTCTTCGTATATGGCTCCCACTTCCCGACCTCATCGTCACAAATGTAACAGCGAGAGAGAGAGAGAGAGAGAGAGAGAGAGAGAGAGAGAGAGAGAGAGAGAGAGAGAGAGAGAGAGAGAGAGAGGGAGGGAGAGAGAGAGAGAGAGGGAGGGAGAGAGAGAGAGAGATGCAATGCAATATGAACAACAAACACACAAGGAACCCCGCATTTCAATACGGTTGGGAAGTGGGTGCCAGTTACGCCAGAATACGTCTACAACGTCTTCATACATGGCTCCCACTTCCCAACCTCATCGTCACAAGTGTAATAACCGAGGATCTGCAGACCATGGGATGCTGGACCCGTTTTCCAGCACAGCCTTCAGTCTCGGGTTGAGATGTTGATGGATTCTCAACCTCATTTGTTCACCTTTTTTTTTTCTTTTTCTTTTTTTTTTCCTAGAAGTCCTGGGTGTTGTATGACCCGGTCAGTGAGTGCACAGTGATCACCTTCAACTATGACCCGCAGAGGTCCTGGAATATGAGACCACCTCCCATCCCATCCTCACTCGACTCAACCATTGTTTTGTAAAGGTCATCAATAAGCTCCTGATCGAGGAAGCGTTGATTATATCTGAATTCCTCATCAGGGATATCCAGAATCCTGTCCAACTTGACAGAAATGAACTGCATTTTCGGTCTCTGTTTACCATTCTCGTCGAACTCAAGGAAGAAGCCTTTGCTTAGATGACCAGAAAAATTCCCAGTCGGCAGAATCTGCAAACCGGGCGGTCTGGTGACTGTCTTGCCCACAGCGTCTTCATCCTACTGTGGCTGGTCCGGTTCCTCAGCCTCCCGCGTATGTTGGACGGCATCCTCAACTGCCAGCATTTTCAACTTGCGTTTGCCCTCCTCTTGCTTGGCTCTCCCCTCGTGATTGGTTTTCTTACTGTCCAAAGCACTTCTCCTCTCTTGCCTGATCTTCCTTTTCTTCTCAGCTAGTCGGACTGCATCGGCATGCACCGGCTCGACCCCAACTTCGCGGTGCATTTCCCCGCGCTCTGGATCCGCTTCCCAATGCCCATGACCCGGCGCGAGCAGCTGCGTTCGTTTGGAACCCCGATGCATATCTGCATACCCTCCCTCGCCGGTCGTTTCCTCTTCTTGCCCTTCGTCCGCATACTCAACCCCTAGACGACCCTCCAACTCGCCCGGCCCACCCCTCTCGCTGATTGTGTGCTCACTCTCTACTTCCTCTTCTTCGCCACCCTCCTCATATTCTTCGCGTTTTTCATCGCGCTCCCATTCTTCTTCGCTGTTCTCCTCGTCGTCATCTCCAAAATAATGCGGCCCAGCAGGAATGGCCAACTCATAGCGCGGCAGGCGAACCAAGGAAACGGTTTCCTTGATTGATGTTGGTCTACGCTTCACAGGGGATGACAGCACGATTTGGCCGCGACACAGACCTTTCTCCCCGATCTGCCCAGATTTCGGAACTCGTGTTGCGGCAACCGTAGTCCGAAGTGATGGCGGAGGGCGGGCACCTATAATGATTGGTTTCGACAACGGAGCCGCCTCTAAAGACGACGAAAGCACGCTTTTCGCTTCAGATATGCGGTCGGAAGAATGCACCACCGGCTCATTCCCTGCAACCACATGTTTGTCGAAGAATGTGAAAACCGCTCGAAGGTCCGGCAACGTCAATTTCTCCATCCCGGGCTGATTGAAAATGTCATAAAGCTTCTTGCCGTACCCAGCGTGTTTGGCCCAACGAAGAGCAACGCATTTGACATTCGGTATCCGCTCACCTCTAGCGTTAAGGACCATCGTCAACTCCAACATGGCCGACGGTGAATTTCCTCCACTCCACTTAACCACACCGCCAATCGGAACAATGTTATCTTTGATCACCACATACAAAACCAGCCCACCCCAGCGTTCCCCGATTTCACCCACCCAGTCCAACATCCAGCACTTGTCTTTGTGGTCGACGACAGGCACCTCGTCTCCCACACCTGCAACGGACGTGTCACCAGACCTTCTACGCTTGGGCACAACGTCCATCGTAGATTTCCCCTGCCGACCAGTAGCCTCCTCTTCTCGACCCGCAGCCCCACCACTCAACAACACAGCCGAATCCGGTCCCGAACCTCGAACATGGGCGGAAGGAGTGCCCATAGAAGGTGCACCCCGCAGCACCGGGGTTCGGTGGCCCTTAGATTCCGGTATGTCGCCAGCCGCCACACCAGCCGTCGATGTCCCCTTCGGTTTTTTTGGAGACTGCTCCATGCTCCCAGAACCAGTACTAGGACGTCGTTTGCTTGGCTTCCCCTCGCGATCCATATCGAGCAGCTAGTTGCAACTGGAGAAAACGCACAAGCGAGAAAGCAGACACCGTCATTTTTGGCAACTTTTCATTTTTTTTTTCGGATACCAAATGCCCTGCAAATTTACAGATATGTATTTCACATAATATAAAGTGAATAATATTTTTTTCAAAAAATAATAAAATATTTGAGGCACCAGAACAAAATTAAAACAAAAAGTGAAAAGTAAAAAAACAAAAATTGAGTGGCTGAGCATGTTTTAACACCGTTATTTTTGGCAATTCTTTTTTTTTTTTGGCTAAGCAAAATGCCTTGAAAACGTTTCTGCATGTAGAGCACGTCATACAAAACTCACAAAAAACATTTCAACGAAAACTAATAATCTTAAGGCCTATTTTTTGTTTTTATGAGGGTCGAACCCTTTCAGGTTCGGACCCCGAACTCCCGAACGTTCGGGGGTCAGCCCGGGGGCCTCCGATCGTTCCTTCTGGTGTCCACGTACATAATTTTTTTTTTTTTTAATCGAGTCGAGCAAGTGGTCTCTAGCCACTTTGGTAGCCTAGTTGAAGATATAATAACAGTTTGGACAAGTTTGTGCAATACATTATTTAGAAATTTATTTTACTGCAATAAATCTTCTAATCTGAATTAGATTAACTCATTTTGGACTTAACTCCGTATAATAGAATAAATGTTTAATTAAAATTTTAATTATCTCATCTAAAATTTTATTTCACTTTCTACATGAAGTTCAAACTATGAAGGATACCCCATTCTTGAGAGAATTTTTCTTATGTAAGACATAAAATTTCAAAAGTGAAATAATATTTTTTAAGATTTAATGATTATTTTAATATTATAGTAATCTAGATAATTTTTCGGGCTTCCAAACACCCAACTTATGCCCGAATACACGCCCGGATGCCCGGTCGGGCATGACCCTTGGGCAGAGTTATTTGTAGCCCCAGCCTAGGCTACGAGAGTGGCCCGGGGTCACTTGCCTGGGCGGGCGAAAAAACATTAAAAAATATTTTTTTATTTTTTATTTTTTTTTAATTTTAAATTTGGTGAAGAATTTTGATGTGACCCTGAGGCAAAAGTTGTCCAGTTTATTTTGTTTGCTGCATAACATAGTTTTATTTTGGATTTTTTGAATTTTTTTCTTTTTCTTTTTGATGGGATCTTCCTTGGTCCTTGCATGGGCAGGCCACCCGGGACCCGGGCGGCCCGACTGGTAGCCTACGTCCCAACGCTGGAAAAAAAAAAAAAAAAAAAAAAAAAAAAAAAAAAAAAAAAAAAAAAAAAAAAAAAAAAA